CGGACGGACTCATGCACTGGCCTGGGGTGACCCACATAAGCCTGACTTTTAGATTTGCTTCCTCGCTTTTCAATGGGTATCTACCACTAAGCGTAAAATATTTGACAGACGGAAGTGAAAAGTTCGTCGATTAAAGTGCGGGGTTTAAAGGAGCGAGGAACGTTGCCGCAAAGATGGTGGAGACGAAAAGTTTGCTCGTTTTCCTTAATCAAATTATAAAGCTCGAAATAATGAGGTGGGTCCCCCCTGCCATCGCACTTTGGAACACGGTTTGCGAAAAGTGGCTATTTTTTGTTTCTTATAATATGAAATAGAAACTTGTTCGACTTTCTGATATAAAGTTCAAGATTATTTTTTATATGCAAGTGTAAATTTGTAATAAACAAATTTATAATTGTAAGATTCAAACAATCAGATACAGGCTACTCTTCCCTGTTATATATTTGTTTACACATTTTTTCTCAAGTTTGATTCTTTATTTCTTTATGGCCCATCAATTTTCTTAAATCTATCATTTTTATTTAGATAAAATGAGATAAACTTCTCTTTTCCGCCTTGTATAGCCGCTACAGCTGAAAACTGTAAAAAAGCCATTAGCGTCAATCGATTTTACTCTCATTCTATACCTTATACATAGTAGTGTACTGTAATCTTACAATGATGCGCTATAATGCGCACTACTTACGACATTATGTATAACGTACAGAACGAGAGTAAAATCTATTTTCACAAATTGTTTTTTTTTCCGTTTCCAACTGTAACGACAATACACACCGTGCGATGCTAAAGAAGTTGCAGCATCAAGCTGACATTCACCGTCCCTTCCGTATCCCTTCCTGATTTCGGTTTTCAACTTACCCCATATATACGCACGGATACGTTATGGAAGTAACATTTGCTAGGAATAATTATGCTAATAAACGAAATAATGCGAAGAATGTAGCTCGGGAAAAGATTTTTTGTCACTCTTGAAACGCCATTAAAAAGCATGATGAGTCAGAACAATCCCAGTGACTGTCGCAGAATCCAACAGACAACCAAAACGAGAGTTGAGCTGGGTTGTTTGGTAACTTTCTCTTTCGCTTTCTGCCCTAACAAGAACACACGGATGGACAGACTCTGACATCAATTTTACGGCTCAGCAAACCTGAACATGTTCTGCAACTGAAAACTTATGGTTATTATCATTATTATTCATTCTTTGGAATTTGCAGAACGGCTTGCCATAGCCGAAGACTCTCGATTTCATAAGCAGGCAAACCAAAAACAAAACAGCTATCGTCGAGCCACCTTCTTCAGTCGATGTTATCTCGGTTTCTGACGGTGATGCTAATGATGACTCACCGTGCCCATCCAGCTGGAGTAGTGCGTTTTGAGTATTTTGCGTCCAAACTATGACGCACACCTGTTTTAACAACGAAAACAAATTTTAGATGTAAGCCCGGTTTACACGATCCAAGTCGGTGTTCAACTCAATTGAACTGCGAAAATAATGAACGGATTTTTATTATTAGTTTACTAAATCGCGTTGGCTTTATGGATCCGATTATTCATTGTTCATGGTTTGTAACGAAATTTGCTTAATTCTATATCTAGTAGGAGTTAGGCCGAATACTCTAGGCTACGAGTTAGAGGGGTACATTCAGACCAGTGACAAGGCCTATACCAAGAGCAGCGTTTGACAGTAGGCAGCATGTCCCGGGCTCAAATCGTTTAATTTGCTGTGCTGGGCCCGCTGTCACGGTATAACATGTTGTATACGCGCCTGCCACTGGGCTGGGTACATTGTCCAAGAATAGGATTCGGAAAGGAAAGGAGATTTCGTTGTCTCACCAGAGAGTTGTCGCCAGTAGACCGGAAATATGGTCGATGTCCAGCGTTTTTTAGTCCCAAGTCCCTTGAATGTTGACCGTCACATTGGGGGGAAGGGGGGTTGGGTTTAATTCAACTTACTTGCCTCGTCTAAACTCAGCTTTATATTTATTGAAACCAGTCTTCCTCCCATTGACTTCTTGCCACAAGATTTCACCAATACAACGTTGCTAGTGTAGCCGTGTATAATCGATTTGTTCATTATTTTCAACCACGAAATCAAGAGCCACATGTGAAAAGGGCATACAAGCTTTTTGTAAACAAACCTTTGTAGGCCCTTTTCTCGCCAACCAAGGGTCGCCCACGCAAAGCAACAACATCATCGGGATGGGAAAGTTTCCCCTATCCCGTGATGTTGACGGTTTGCGTGGGTGGCATGTGGGTGGCGAGAAAAAGGCATAAGAAGGTTTGTTTACAAAAAGCTTGTATGCCCTTTTCACATGTTGTTCTTGAAATCAGCTTTCAAAGCGTTCGACTTGACAATTGTTTGTTTTTTTTTTATTTTCAACCAGTAAAATGCTTGTATTAGTGAAACTGCTCACTAATACTAACGGTGGTAGATAACTCTATTCGCGATCGTTGCATTGATGTAGTGCTAAGTGTGTCATACGTCTCACACAAACCTCCAAACCAGCCTCCAAACTGATGTGAAATGCGAATGAAAAAAGTCAAAACAATCGAATTAAATGTCACTGAGCACGATTACGAATTCTGATGGAAGCCTGACACATACTTTTTCGTTTCTTAAAAAGATGTTGGATGCATTTGTATACAATAGTAATCTCGATGTTTGCTGCTTTCAAAGCTAATCTTCAATAAAAATAACGTAAATTAATAACAAATGATTGAACTTCTAGCAGGTTCAACACCAGTTAATAAAAAAAAATCATTATACTGAAGAGAAAGATTATTCCAATCTACAGTGCGAATTACTGATTATTTTCTTACGTTGCCACATAATGTGTAAATGAGAGACAACCTAGACTTGAGAGAGAACCTTATAAGGTTTACTAGAACTTGGAAGTAGCGTAACCATGAACTCTCTCTCTTTCTTTCTCTCTCAGATCTCTTTCGCAGTTGTGCAAAAGAACCAAAACAAAGATGACTCACTCTAAGTGAGAAGTCAAAGCACCTGAAGATTGCATTCCCCGAATAAAAATACAGCATACAATAGCAATAGAAAGTATTGTACAATCAGGGTTGCTTCCACTCACTTGTTATAAAACATGTTTTTTGGGATTATGAAATCATCAAACGTTAAAATGATAATAAGTTCATGCAATCTTCAAGAAGAGGTTGTACAGTATGTCTTTAATTCATAAAAAAAAACTATCAATATTACTTTCAGAGAGTCACGATTGCCAATTTTACGATTCGTGAGCGCTCACTCTAAAATCGCTTATTGTGACACTCTGAAAGCGAAATTGACATGTTTTATGAGTCAAACTAATACTTTACAACCCCTTCTACAGAGAAAAAAATCTGAATTTTAACTATCGTGTAAAATCTCCCCTCGTTTAATTGTGAGCTACAGTTGACATAAACAACGAAATCGTTTAGAAGCTTGCATACAATATTTATAATTTATACGATATTGCACTTGAATTTACACGCAGTATCATGTAAATTTATCCCGAATCTAGCGTTAATTTTATGTGCGCTATATCTCACAGAAATTTACATGAATTTTTCAAACAGTGTAGTAACATACAAGAACAACACACTAATCCAGCATTTAGTTGTTCGGTATTTTTTGTACTGGGCTTACACGGTAAAACGAAAGATTTACTGAAAATTCAGTTTAAATCAGGTGAATAACCGACGTTCTGTAAAACACAAACTGAACTTCTGTATCGTTTGATGCAAAATACTGTACACAGAATATTTATTTACTGATAAAGTCGTTAAATTCCAAATTTTCGTGATTTCACGAAAAGTCAGTAAAAATAATTACTGTGCACAAAGTAGTCTTTATTTTTTTACTGACTGGTCAGCAAAATAGCCACGTTGTTTTACCGACCACGAATTGTAAAACTCTAACCTGTAAATTTTATTCCCGCCGCCATTTTAGCTTCAGTAAAATCCGGGAGCAAGTGTTTAATCGCGCAGTTTTGTTAAAATTTTAATTATATCATGACGGAACTTAGAAAACTCGACAGTGAAATTGAAGAACTATTTCGTTGGTACCAACACTTATTATTTACTCTTTTTGCAGTTCCTTGATCTCCAACAAATTTTGATTAACAAAATGGATGTTTGCATTGTTTGCTTTCACTGTCAACGCGCTATTCCTGGGTACGTCATATTAATTCGTCATATTAATTGGCATATTATAAACGGTGAATTGCACCAGGATTCATGCTTTATTACTGTACATTCAGTACTTTTAATATAACTGGGTAACATGGTTTAATAATGAACCAAATAACTGTCTTCTCAGTTAAATTGCAGCAAAATAAACAAAAAGAAAATACTGGGTTTTCAGTATACGCAACTCGAACCAATTACTGAATGAACAGTTATTTTTGACAGATTGACTTTACGGACAGATCGGTAATGCAAATTATTTATGTTATGATTACTGGGCGATCCGCAATTCAAAAACCCAGTAAAATTTTACTGACTCCAGTAATCTAAAGTTAGTGTGAACATATCATTATAGCTTCTAATGATTTCATAACTCTGAAAATCAATTTTTTATAGCAAAGTGAGTGGAAGCAATCTTGGTTACAATCCTATAAACTCTTTTATAGTAACCATTAATTGTATTGCCACGAACAATATAATATAGCTGATTGTTTAACACAATAAAATCTATTGTAAATATGACTATCACAATAGATGAGGGTGGTTGCTACGTATCTTAACCATAGAAAAGATGATTTTTCTCGGTCTCCAAAATTGATCTCATTACAATAAATTTTATTATTTTTATAATATTGAGAATTTTGAAAATATATTGTAAACTTTTGTGGCGACAATAAGATCATTTGACAAATACTATTCAACTACAATAGAGTTAATCGTCAACAACAAAATGTATTTCATTTTATTGTAAATTTATGGCTATTTTTATTCGGTCATCGATGAGAACGTTATAAGCTGTTATAAGCACATATCAAACTTATCCCGAGAGAAGATATGTTGAAAAGGAAGCAAAACCAAAACAAAAATAAGCAAACGTTTGCAAACGTGTTCATTCCTGTCCAACTTTGTTTGTCTTTGTCCGGTTGAGCCGACGATCGGTCAGTGCTTTCGCAGACGTTGAACAGATATGGTGCAGGTGAAATTAGTGTGATAATATTTTAATCGTTTTTTTTTTATATTGCTAAAGGTGTACTGTTTAGTAAGAGTTCAGTGTTTAAAGTAAGTGATTTTGTGTTACTTACAGGTGCTTGCCACAAAGGATCAAAATGTCTATCTTAGGCTGAGTGCTTTGGAAGAATGCTTCTCGAAAATGGAGCGCCGCTGTCTGCTGATTGAAGAGGGATAATAACCCAACCCATGGCTTCGTGCTTTGCCGTACGCAACTGACTCACCCAACCCCTCGTTCTACGTGACTCTTCCCGGAATCGGGAAAACGGACGAAAAATCTACTGCCTGAACAACGAAAAGCTGCCTATAGTACCTATCAGACGAAAATTTCACACAGGAGAATATTCGGAGAAGCAGAAAATTCAACAAAGACGAAACGAAGCACGGAACGTCTCGAAGATGGCACTTCCAAAGGATATTATCGAGCTTATGAGAAAATCTGGCTGTCGAACGGTGACACATCTGATATCGACCATTTCCGCGCTGCTGCTTCTGACAGTGCTTGCCCTCGGAGAGCAGTTTCTATTCGGTTCCCTTGGAAGCGGCAGCAAGTTCTACGGGAAACATGACTTCAAGAAGCTGATCCAATAAAATTGTCACACAGAAATTAATTATTTTTGAGTGCTTGTATTCTACCGCCCCTCGCTTATCTACAATTCCGCACGTAATACCCCGCTAAATGTGGCAATATTTTCGGATTAATGACGTTATAGATTGTCGTTGATGTGGGTTAAGGCAACGATGACAATGTGCACGTAGATGTATGGATGTGGTTGTATGGGTTCGCGATCCCAATTGATTGGAGAAGAAGTGGTCAGCTCTCAATACTTGCAAATGTCGAAAAGCGCACGCACAATTTGCGAACCACCGTCAATGCGACAGGGATTTGGGGCGATAATAATGAATTATGATAGTTTCGATGTTTTTGTGGACCCACTGTAACATTTTTTTTTTCTTAAATCATAAACGCAAAAGATAAGCAACGGCTCTTGTAAAACACAGTGAAGAAAACTGATGTGTTTGTAAAGTAAGACTTTTTTTTACAAAATTCAATTCATGTTTAATTTGGTAGCCATGAAGACATATGAAGAATAAATAGATCCAAATAATGAAATTAATCAATTCGAAAGAAATAACCATACATGAGATAGCATGCTTGTAGGTAAATGACGACTTCGGCACGGTGTGTCTGAAAATAAACCTTATCATAAAAAAATCAGTATCGTAAAAACACGCACCAAACGAAAACACAGGCTCGTCCCTTTTATTTAAGGTTAGCATCGGGGTAAACAAAGTTATTGTGCGCTTTATGGTTTATGTATTTATTTATCTCGTCAATCAGCGTACCTACATAGCAAAAAAAAAATAATATCGATTAACGTAATTCAAGCAGATGTATGAAATAATGTTGTAATAGCAAAAATCAGATACAATATTACATCAATGGATACGGTATACATCGTACAACGTATGAAATAATATTTAAATAAATAAACATTAATATTACACCTCCAGCGGAATGACCTCTGTGCAGCTGTTTGGATGTAATATTCAACAACTTTTTTTTTTCTGTGTTCATATGCATACATTTATTTAAACAAAATTCTTAACGTCTACCTGTTGCAGTAAATATTTGTCATAATTAAGGCACATCAATAATCTCACAGTATTTGTTATAGCCATTAATATTCTATTAATTAGTTCATTTATCGCATAAGTTGTTCTTTGAGGTAAAACTTGATATAAATTCCCAATTCTTAAAATGCGTGCTGTTGCATAAAAATTCAAACTTGCTAATAAGTTTTCTGAATGTAGTTATACGCTATGATATTATAATATTTTTTTTATCTTCGTTTCTTCCGTGTTTCAATGTTAATCAACATGCAACGTGACTCATAGGAAAGAAGGGGAAAGAAAATCCGGCCTAGTTTTTTTAAAGGACGAACAACAAAAATTAGTTGGAGATGCTTAACGTCAATATCAGACTTAAAGTGAACATTTTAAACGACTGATGAGTTGATAGTTCCGTTATAGTACGGCAGCGTGAATATTGTGTACAGAAAGTAGAAAGGGAGCAAAAAACAATTTTAAGGAAGGTACGAAACGGATCGAGCATTCCCTTTACGAAACTCACCCGTTGGTGAGGTGCGGTGAGGTGTGCTTCCCCTCACCTCCACTGGCAAAAGGAATTGTTCAGTGCACGACGTGTAAATATTAACATCACCGACAAAAGGACCTACTGCGTCTGAATCTGTCATGATTACCTGAGTTTTGTCAAAAAAAACGTAAATATTTACGCTGTATGCAGCGAAGAATATTCGTCGATTCGCTCATGTACCTCCGATGTACGGAACGGTTCTATCGATTGTTACATACTCAAGTCGGCACCTGATGTAAGCTTCAAGTCGATGGTTTTGAAATTGTTTTCCTCTACCACTGTCTGCGCTCCCGTCATCGTCAACTTAACGATCTCAAAGAGACACGGGCATGGGAGACGCTGGCATGCTTGGCATACACAGTTTTGGTCACGAACTGCTCATTTGCTAATAACTTTGAACACAGTTGACGAAACATAGTTCTTTTTGAAGTAGTAGATAGAATATAGTTTATACTTGTTATAGATACGTAAAAAAAAAAGAAGATTTGAGTTCTAGTAATAAACTGTATTTGTTTTTGCGTTGTAAAAATGAAGTGAGGAATGCTCGCTGCACATCTCGGGCTTTAAGCGTAAAAAATCATTGGTGTTGATTCAAATGTTAAGATTTACCTACTCTTTGCATATCTATAGTAAGCTGTGATTCTAATCTATCAATTACTTTTAAGAAAAACATATTTCAACAACTGAGTGAAAAGTTATTAACAAATGAGCAGTTGGTGTGTACAACTGTGCATTCCAAGCTTCATTCCTTTATTTAACGTCGGTCTCTGTTCCGCAATCTAGTGCCAATCACCGACGGACATCGATTGCCATCCATTGACGGCAATCGAATGTGCAGGAAGGCAGCTTCGATACCTTCCGAAGGAAGACGTGACCAGAGATTTTTATGCCTCAGAAAAATCCCACCGACCTTGGCTGGGATTGAACCCAGATCCATTGGGGTGAGAAAGTAGTCACGCTTACTACTACACCACCGGCGCCGGCTGCATTCCAAACTGCTACTATACCTTTCGACCATAGTTGATAGTAAGAGTTATGTACTTTAACTTATCATGTTTTTTTATTACTTGATTGCCTGAAGTTAACGGTTTACATGCTTAACGTCAATCCACTATCTGGATTTTTTACTAATGTAGTTTATGAGTGGATCCCTAAGTTTACTACTTATATCGTAAGAGTTCTAAAGATACGGAACTTTCAAGACAGTTATGATGAACTTTGAAGGATGCGCTGACTTCGCCTTCAAGGATTTCGAGCCTTTATAATCGATCACATTTCCACAAACTAGACATTAACCCTTACTTTTATTGAAGTCTTTGATATAGTTGTTATAGCCATCTGGATTTATTCCATTTGGTTCATCCCTAAGTATACTATATTTACTCATAAATTGTACTATCTTTGTCTTTTGTTGGCTTGATTGGAACATGATTTTACCCGAAGAACTCTGTAGTTTAAGAAATCTGGAATATCTTTGTTGTCAATAAATGCCATTAACGTTCACTAACGTTCAGAACTTTAATTGAATTCTATTCATCTTATCTGATTTATTGTCACATGCACTATATTTTTTGAACACTAATTAATTTGTGTAGCAAAGGTAACACTGCTAGGTGAATATGATTTAATGTTGTATTGTTTCGAGCTAATTTGAACAATCGAAATAGCGCTGTTTCTGTGAGCATTTCGTGGTCTTCCCAGGCACCCAATTCAACTTTCGGTCGGCTACTGTTCCATTATATAGCGCTTTTATTACCGAAAAAGTTACTGCATATAATGCACCTATAGTGGACATTTATTTGATCCTTTTCCTTAAACTTGTTGACAATACTCTATTTTGCCTGAAAAGTTATTCTTTATAAAACCTACTGATTAAAAAATTAAAGTTCAAAACGAAAGTTAAGCACGATTTTTTTGAGATAACTTGATAAAAAAGAAAGCCCACGTGGCCAAAAGAGAGGGGGTAGAGGCATAGAGGTAACTCTAAGACCACTGGGTCCCGAAGAAAATCATTATTATTTTTGGCTCACTCAGTACCAGAACAACGGTCCCAAGCAGTCCCAAGCTATTTCACTCACCCCTGCATGTTCTGCATGAATCCACACACCCCTGATGTTATCTGTCAAACTTTCATAGCGAATCAAAACAAACATAGTGTAGTAATAGAATTTCAACTAGAATAGGGTACGTTAATCGTTTGCTTGGGACCAATAGGCTACTAAAGTGGTGAGCCAATTTAAAATCGTTAGTTTCGTATTGATTGTTGGTAGAGGTAGAGCTTATGTCTACGCTTGCTCACGGGGAGGAAGGGGGTATAAAAAGACATGCTTTTCCTGATCACGTGGTATATGGAATATACATTCCTATAGCACAGACAAACAGACGTAACTCTTTGACAAAGTTATTCTTGAAAACATAGTATCTCAAAACACAGGACCTCAGTAACGACATCTCTCGGGCTTCTCGCGGAAAACAAGCTTGCTCGCTAACTCTCAAACAATATTGCATAAAAGTTCTATAGAATGTATAGAAACGTCGAAGTGATCCGATGCCAGCGCTGCGGCGAGTAGTTCGCGGAACTGATAATATTCAAATCAACCGTTAAATGCGTGAACGAAGATAAACAATGAAGTGTTACATCTGTTTGTCTGTGCCTGTAGGCTCATTTATAGATATATATTATAACGCATGGGATATATGTACAGAGTGCGTGACGAATTTTTGCAGTAAATGGCATATTTGAGAAAAAATACACCAGTTAGTTATTCTAGCAATGAATTTTGTGCGATTTATTTTCTTTCGCAACATATGGAAGTTGTAAGTAAATTTCTAGATAGTGCTGGAATTAGGGCCTAACAGCTTTTGTAAACAATGACTTCTATCGATGATTCCTGGAAATTCAAGGCTCACACACGCAAACCAACATCCTCATCAGGTGGGGAAAGACTTCTCCTATCCGATGGATATGTTGGTCTGCGTGGGCGTGCCTTGAGTTCCTAGAAATCATCGATAGAAGTCATTGTTTACAAAAGCTGTTTCACCCTAATTCCAGCTCTCTCTAGATTTATTCAAAAAAATTGCCTTCCCTTTCGACGACTGTAGTTAGACGCTTCCGGAAACTGCAGTATGCACGTTTTAAAATGTTTCGATCCATAGATGTCATCACTGCCTTGATTTTAGCTTTTAGCGACTTAAGTGTGGTGTGAGGGGTTCTATTGGTATCCCGTTGGACGACGTCCTATACAAAATAATCCAACGGATTGATATCGGGACTGCTTGGGGGCCAAATTTTTTCCTCCCAAATTTACGAAATATTTTCCGTAAGCCATTTCTGTGCTTTATTAGCAGTATGAGCAGGTGCTCCGTCTTATCACTTTCCCAAGCCTTTTTTAATATTATACACTGTTCTTTCAGACACATTTACCGACCGAATTATTTCTTTCATGCATACGC